CATAACTGCTGGCTTCACCTGGCAGCAAAAGTAGAAGCAGGATGTTGCCTGAAGGGATCATGGTGGGCTGTGGGTTGGAAGGGGTCTCCCAAAGGGCTTTGGTCCAGAGAGGTTCTGAGGAAGAGTGGGGGAGCAGAGAGGCAGCAAAAGCGGATGTCACCCTGCTGGTAGCAGGTCTAGCGGCTTCCTGTGTGTGGGGGTGGGGAGAGAGGAGAGGTGGTGGGTCCCTGTGACTGTCTTTGGGGACAAACTGAGGGAAGGGTCAGAGACTAGGGAAGTTGTTATGATTGTCCAGGTGGGAGGTAACAGGTGGACCAGGGTGTGGGCACTGGGGAGATTCTGGAAAGATTTTGGAGGGAACGCCAACAAAACTTGTTGATGGAGTAGATAAGCGTGTGTATGAGAGAGAGGGATCTAGGAGGACCAAAGCTTATGGCCTAAGCAACTGAGAAGACGGAGCATCCTTTGACAGGATGGAGGAGAAGCCGGTTTGGGGGCAGGGGGAGGGAAGTGCAGGAGGTTTGGGCACGCTGAGCTGGAAATGCCCGCTAGACCTTCCTGTGGAGAATGACCACAGCTGCCTCTGAGTTCAGGGGTTAAGTCTCATCTGAAGGTGTAAACTTGGGGGTTGGTGGCTTATGGATGGCATTTAAAGTCACCAGATAGGATGAGATTGCCAAGGAAGTGAGTACAGATGGACGACAACTCTTCCCCTCTAAGAATGGGTGAAGAGGGGGAAAGAGCCAGGGAAACTGAGAAGGAGCAGCAGGTGAACCCTCAGGAGGCCGTGGATTCTTGAAAGCAAGGGAGAAATGAGATTAATGTGAGCCCTGTGGGCAGTCCCCAAGGCGGGAACTGAGAACAGCCTCTCCCTGGAATGTCAGCCAATGAGGGTGGGAATTCCTGCCTGCTTAGGTCACGGCTGCAGCACAGCAGCCAGCGAAGTGCTTCCCCGGCAGTCACACATTATGTTAAATGATGAATGAATACATGCGAACTGACCTCTGAAAAAGGAGGTGATGTGAGGAAAAGGGAGGAAGGCCTTTCCTCCCAGGAGACCAGGAGGTCTGGGCCCCCAAGCCTCTCCTCCCCCAGGACCAGTAATATTGCCCCCAGCCCCAGCCCCAGCCCGGGGCCCTGGAGTCGTTTCCAGTACCCCTTCGACAGAGGCCGAGAAATCCAGGCCCCAGTGCCCCCCTCCTTCAGGAGCCCAATATCTCAGGCCCCTTTTTCTCAGACTGAAGGTGGGGAGCCCCCAGCCCTCTCCACCCTGTGCAGTCGCGCGCTCAGTCAGCCCAGCCCATTCAGAGCCTGGGTTTGCTGGAGCGCGACCGGGGGACTCCCGCGCTGTGGGCGGGGCCCTACCCGCGGCGGGCGGTGCCAGACCCGTTTAAAAACTCAAGGCTGACCCAGCCCAAGATCGGGGACCCGGCGGCTCCGCGGGGTAACAGCGAGGCTGGCGCAGCGCCGAGGCCGGGGCCCAGGGGGCCCGCAGTCCACGCCACGGAACCCCCGAGGTAATGGGGGGCGGGGGGTGAGGCCCGCTCGGCCCCGGCAGAGTGAGGCCCTGGGTCCTGAGACCGAGGGTGCCGGGTGTTTGGAGGGGAGACAGCGCTCGGATTCCGCGGTCAGGATGGAGGAGCGGCTGCGATTCTGGACTCCTGGGTCCTGGGGGCAAGGGGACTGGGATCAGGAATCCTGGGGCCTGCGGGAGGCCGGGGCTGGCGGCCCAGACCCCTTCCCCGGGGGCAAGCGGGGCCGCGCGGAGTCCTCGGGGGCGTGGTTGTTCAAAACCAGCCGCGGGGCTCAGCGGGGAGGGCCCGGCAGGGTCCGCGCCGGCGGCGACTCTGCCCCCGCCCCGGGACTTCCCGAGTCGCCACGCGTCCCGGGTTCCGGGG